TTGATCATGATGATGACAAACAACCATGCAATCCTGAGACACTTTCATCCTATCTCTGGTTGGTATGTTGATCTCAAACTGGTATGTGGATGCTCGCAGACCTCAAAAACTCTTGCATCTTTATTGGTACAGTTGGGGTATTGATAAAATGCTCTCAAGTTGCCGTATATGGTTTTGGATATTATATATATTGCATGTATTCTCGGTGTTGTAAGTCTACTGTCCTATAGGTGTTTTCATCGGTGGGGAGCCATGACTATGCATGTCTTTATGTATCTGTAAATTATTTTCCAAGCCAGCCAATCCTATCACACTACATATATGTCAAATTTCAGATCTTATCGCCTTCTAAAAACATCGCAGAGCCTACGAAACCAACCGATGATCTTGGTGCTTCAACTGAAGAAGATGAGAAGCTTGATAATTACAGTATAGAGAGTAAAGACAGTGAAGATATAATGGACAATACTATTACTAGTAGTACTGCAGTCAGTGAAGAAATTGAACACAATGGTGTTAATAATTCACAAGTCAGGAAACGAAACGTCAACAAAGGGTGAGAGTTTTCTTTTCTTTGTTTCCTTCTGTAGGTGGTCTCAAGATTGTATGTCTGTTCAGCAAAAATGAAAAGTTGGTAACATTGTTTTGGTTTTAAACTTCAGTCAATGGGGACCTCCCAAGGCCTGAGACCTCCATAATCGCCTAGAATTTATGGGTGTTCTATGGTCTGAAACCTTTAGAATTTGCCTAGAATTTGTAAGAGTTTCAAAGTTTGAGACTTCTGCAATCACCCAGAATGAATTACGGGTGTTCCATTGTCTGAGACAATACACACAGCGTCTATGCTCATTGGCTATTGACTGTAAATTTGATTGGGTTATTGGAAATACCTTTGTTATTCTTCTGTAGGTCACATGATTATGAATAATTCCCAGCATGCAACAATTAAACTGTCCGTTGAGTGGAAATGTCGTATTGGTTTTAGAATAAAGATGAATATTTTTGAAGTTTCCATGTAATAACATTATTATGCATCTATGTTCCCAACTGTTTGGTTTGTGAAGCACAAAACTGGGCAAGATGGTGAACTTTAGTGGAAATTGTCTTTAGTCTTGTAAATATTGCAAAAAAATTTTCATTTTTGGAATAATAAAGTGAATAATATTCCTAATAAAGTTGGATGCACATGTTCTTGATCAAATTTATAGGTGAGCTATACAAAAGTATATAGTAAGTGCCAAAGGTGGTTTTGGTGTTATGGCTATTTTAAACTAAAGGTGTTATGTTGATCTGGTGGTCATTTTGAATTAAAACTCAACTTATTGTATTTTATTTTCAGTTCTGAAGATCATGGTTGTGGTAAAGTACAGGCGACAATACGATATAGTTCCCAAAGAAATCGACTGATAGTAGTGATACATAAGGCCGTGTAAGGATGAGAATTAGTTCATTTAAATCAGATACTAAGTTATGATATTTAATATTGTTGTCCAAATGTGAGTGTTATAGGCCTGAAGTTAGAATGGTGTTTTCTTCTCAAAGCCACATATTGCTCAAAATAACACTTTGTATTTTATTTCAGAGATCTCATTGCATTGAATTCTGATCACACATCAGATCCTTATATTAGACTATATCTCTTACCTGACAAATCAAAATCAGGACGAAGAAAAACTAAAGTTATGAAAGATGAACTGAATCCCATCTATGATGAAACGTAAGTTTTATAAACTAGACTCGCTTATCTGCTTCAGCTCTAAGTGTCTTATCTTTTACCTCAGTGTGAGACTCATGTTTGTTTGTTTTATATTTTACATAATCTATTTGTTAGTATAGCTTTTGGTAGATATCTTATAGACCATGTACCCTTCTATTTTTTCAGATTTGAATTTGCCTGCAATGCTGATGAGATCCAGCAGCGTGTGATTGATCTTGTCGTTAAAAACTCTGTTGGTGTCTTCTCACAGAGTAAAACATTTATGGGACAGGTAAAAATACTCTTATGTAAAATAAAGTAGTCTTATCTTTCTAGATCTAGTTTTAATAGCATGTGTATTCAGTATCCTTTTTGTGATGACGTTTGTTTAGCATTCACATCACATTCTGTTAATTCAGACCCAAAGATCCATAGCAACAACAGAACAATCAACAAATAATAAATGTAATAACAAAACTGCACACACCAGAATTATACAAAATCGAAAGCGTTAATCCTTGTTCGTTAAATTTGAACAATGAAATATTGATAAATACTTGTACTGTAAGTATCTAAGTTGTGATTAATTTTGCAAAAAGTCAATGACATGAATTAAAATGTTATTGTTTATTGGTATAAATGTCTTCTATGTTTTAATGTGTGAAAATGTATTTGATTGTTCATCAAATTGTAAATCAGGTTTATTTTTTTATACCTCATCAAGATTTTTTTGCCATGATCAATAACTGTCAGCCCCCCAAAATGTGAAAACACATTCCCAAACCTAGGCCATACTTAGTGCCACATTTTGAATTAACTTTTCAGGAACATTTTGAATTATTATCGATCACAGATTACGTGAACAAAACTTAACTACAGATCTCTGAACTCTGAATTTCCACTTGGTTTTCGTTGCTCGGTTCAGGGCATTGTCAGTCCCTGTGTCTTGTTAATTTA